CGAATGGCACATGCTCAGAATATTTGTTTTTCCTTTCTCTTTTGAAAGACGTTATCAATATTGTTCTATAACCAGCTGTTTTGGTATAAACTTTGGTATCTAAGTCTGGTGAGTCTTAACAAAGTGGTATGTGATTATTTACAAGATCCTCATAATATTGTCATACATATACAATTTTTTAATTAACATCAACTATTCAAAACTTTTTTCCCCATTTAAGATCACTCATGTCCATATGTTGTAATTGATTTGATATATTCTATCGCATATTGCCTTATTTTAGAATTGATAAAAACAGGAAAGGTAAAAACAGACTTTAATATGACTGTATCAATGAATGCTAAAGAAATTCGACAAGCTTATATTGACTTTTTTAAAAGCAAAGGTCATGAATACGTTCACTCGAGTTCTACTATACCCCATGATGATCCAACATTATTATTTACTAATGCTGGAATGAATCAGGTATAATTGAATACTTTATCTATATAAAGATTTAAAATAACAATTAAATAATAAATAAATTTCATCCTCTATGTATCAAATAATATTGCATTGCTATATATTGTTTTATATTTTGTTATATGTGTACCTTTTTATTAATCACAATTTGTTTTAGTTCAAACCAATATTTTTGGGGACAGTAGATCCAAACAGTGACATGGCAAAATGGGTGAGAGTTGTTAATAGCCAAAAATGTATCAGAGCTGGAGGAAAGCACAATGATTTGGATGATGTTGGAAAAGATGTTTATCATCACACGTTCTTTGAAATGATGGGCAATTGGTCTTTTGGAGATTATTTTAAAGTGAATTATTGATTATACAATTGTATACTATTAGTTAAAAATACTATTTTAATTGCTAAATTTATTTTCCTTTTCAGAAAGAAATATGTACTTGGGCCTGGGAATTTTTAACAGTTAAATTAAAATTGCCATCCAGTCAATTGTATGTAACTTATTTTGGAGGAGATGAAAAAAATAACTTGAAACCTGATGATGAATGCAAAGAAATCTGGCTGTCTTTAGGGTACTTGGATATTTACTATTCATGTTGTTACTTTGTTCAATAAATGATTAATAATTCACATATATTCTCTAGAAGCTACAATTAATCTTTCTTACTATCTTAGAGTACCTCTTACTCACGTATTACCAGGAAACATGAAGGACAATTTTTGGGAAATGGGAGAAACAGGACCATGTGGACCCTGTAGTGAATTACATTACGACCGCATTGGCAATAGAGAAGCAGCTCACTTAGTAAATGAGGATGATCCAGATGTTTTAGAAATTTGGAACCTTGTGTTCATACAATTTAATAGGCAAGTAACTTGTAATAAGAGAAATAAATTTTACTTATTTCATATTGTATATTATTTTAGGGAATCTGATGGAAGTTTGAGATCATTACCAAAGAAACATATTGATTGTGGGCTAGGTTTAGAAAGATTAGTGTCAGTTATTCAAAATAAACGCGCTAATTATGATACGGATTTATTTGTGCCGCTTTTTGATGCTATTCAGAAAGGCACAAATGCACCACCTTATCAAGGACGGGTAGGCGCAGAAGATAAAGATGGTACAGATATGGCGTACAGAGTTTTAGCAGATCATGCAAGGACTCTTACAATTGCTCTTGCGGATGGAGGTGTGCCTGATAATACTGGCAGAGGGTGAGCAACATATATTTATTTACATATAGTTTTTTAATTCATATTTTAGTACCAATTATATTTTAGGTATGTGTTGAGGCGAATTTTAAGACGTGCTATACGTTATGCGACAGAAAAGTTGAACGCAAAACCTGGATTTTTTGGGACATTAGTGAATGTAGTTGTGAAGCTACTTGGTAAACATAACATTTTAATATTATTTATGCAATTCTTTGTATCCTCAAATTTTTATTTCACACTTTTACATACCACGTAGGTGATGTCTTCCCAGAAATAAGTAAAGATTCACAATATATAATTGATATTATTAACGAAGAAGAAACTCAGTTTCTCAAGACTTTATTGCGCGGCCGTAATTTATTAAACCGTACCATAATGAAATTAAAATCGTCGAGAATCGTCCCAGGTGACGTTGCATGGCGCTTGTATGATACATACGGTTTCCCAGTCGACTTAACACAACTTATGACTGAAGAAAAGGGATTACAAGTGGATATGGCGGGTTTCGAGGAAGCAAGAAAACAGGCCCAGGTATAAAACATCGTAATAGTAGTTCAAACATGTATCAATTATAAAATAATTAGATTGCTTCATTTACATCAGATTATTTCCCAAAGCAAAAGTGGTGGTGTAGATGATCAAATTAATTTGGATGTTCATGCAATTACTAAATTACAAAATGAAGGATTTAAGCCTACTAATGACTTACCAAAATACAATTACACAATTACCAATAATGAGATATACAAGGAATATGAATTTTCTTCGTGTACTGGTACTGTAATTGCTCTTAGACGTTCCAAAGCTTTCGTCGACGAAGTATCGTCAGGAGAAGAAGTTGGAATTTTATTAGATCGTACTAGCTTCTATGCAGAGCAAGGTGGACAAATATACGATGAAGGATTCTTAATAAAGGTTGATGATGAAGTAAGTAAGTAATACATTTACACGTATACGTATGTATATATAATTAACAATCTTTATTCTTACAGGAAACAGAAGTTCGTATAAAAAATGTTCAAGTCAGAGGTGGTTATGTCTTGCACATTGGTACTGTAGGTCAAGGTGTATTGAAGAAAGGCGACAAAGTTTATTTAAATATAGATATTAGACGTAGGAGGCTTGTAATGAGTAATCATACCGCAACTCATGCTCTTAATTATGCTCTACGAAAAGTATTGGGCACGGATGTTGATCAGAAAGGTTCTTTGGTTGCACCTGATCGTCTTCGTTTTGATTTTACAAATAAAGGTGCGTTCAAAAAATGTACTTTTAGTTATGAAAGATTGGGTGTAAAATACAACTTTAAACTTGTTTTTATAGGAGCTATGACTTCGGAACAAGTAAAGGAAGTAGAAGAAATTACAAACAAAATGATAAAGGAGAAGAAAAAAGTTTATGCTAAAGAAAGTAATTTAGCATTAGCAAGGACTATTCAAGGTTTACGTGCTATGTTTGAAGAAACGTATCCTGATCCTGTAAGAGTGGTTAGCATAGGCATACCAGTTGAGGATTTAGAAAACAACCCCTTAAGTCCTGCTGCAATGCAAACCAGCGTAGAATTTTGTGGGGGAACGTCAGTATTTTTAAATTATGTAATAAATAATTATGCACAGAATAAGTCCTTCAAGATTTTAATTTTTTCAGGCATCTGCATTGTACAGAACATATAGGAGATTTTGTGATAGCTAGCGAAGAAGCAATTGCTAAAGGTATAAGACGCATAGTAGCTCTCACTGGCCCTGAAGCATCAAAAGCTCAAAAGAAAGCAACTGTGTTGCAGAGTCATTTAGATCAACTTCGAATGACTATAGCAGCTGATAAAAGCGGTGTTAATACAAAGGATTATGTGAAGAAAATAGTTGATTTAACGGACGATATCTCGCGCGCCACGATTCCAAGCTGGAGAAAAGTACATGGTTTAATATAATATTCGTATATCATTTTATAACATGTGTATATGTATAGTATATGCATTTTTTTCATACATAGGACAAAATGCGTAAAATGTTAAAAGATTTAAAGAAGACCCTCGATGATAAAGAACGCGCAGCAAAGGTTACAATCGCTAATACTGTAGTAGATACTATTCAAGAAATAATTCAACAAAATGTAGGATGTCCGATACTGGTTGAAGTTTTGCAAGCATATAGTAATACAAAAGCTTTAGATTCTGCCTTAAAGAAGATAAAAGCTGTGTCTCCTGAAACAAGTGCGTTACTTGTAAGCGTGGATCCTGATGTTAAGAAAATATTTGCTCTTAGTGCAGTTTCTAAGGTAAAATTAAATATACACACTTGATTAAAAATTAATTCTTGTTTGCAAAAGAAATAATTATTGTGTGTTGCAATAGTCCGCCAGAAATAAAGGATTAAAAGCGAATGATTGGATTCAAGAAATTGTTCCACTCATGGAAGGGAAGGGAGGTGGAAAACCTGAATCTGCCCAGGCTTCGGGTACAAATGTTTCATGTCTAAATAAAGTAATAAACACAGCTAAGAACTATGCTAATTTGAAACTTGGGATTACAGGTAATTATTCAATATTTATCAAACACAGATATATTATAATAGAAGCTTATTTCTGAATTTAAAATATTGATTGTACATTTTTAGAGAACATTGCAAAAGACAAAACTGATAAATTGAAAATTAATGAACATTCCCTGTGTACTAAAACTTCAAAAGAAAAATTAATGCTTTTTGGCAACAGTGGAAGTGTCAAATATTATCGTGCACAAATAGCAGCAAAGTATGGTGGTAAAGAATTGATTACATCAGAATATAAAAACGATGGTGTAATTTCTAGAGATATAAAATTAGAAGGAAATGGATTCGAGCTATTTGATAGCAACGCGATCGCATTTTATTTAGCGAACGATCAGCTCAAATGTTCGAGTAACTTTTCTACATTCAGTGAAGTTTTACAATGGTTAAGTTATGCGGATAATCATATTTTACCAGCAGTGTCCGGATGGGTTGTTCCATGTCTTGCAGAGAATATACCAAATAACATGAAGGGGAATATTAAAATAGCTAAAGAAGATCTCCTTTCTTCTTTGGAAAAAGTAAACAGTATATTGCAGACGAAAACTTATTTAATTGAGGAAAGAATTAGTCTTGCGGACATAGCGATTTTTACTGCTCTGGTTCCATTGTATGAGTATGTCTTCGATCCAGCGTGTAGAAAGCAGTACATGAATTTGAACAGATGGTTCCTTACTATTTTAAATCAGCCTCAAGTAACTTGCGTGATAAAACAATTTAAGCTGTGTGAAAAGCCTGTGAAATGCTAAAATATTATATAACTCTTTGAACAAATAATTTTTACAATTGTTTTTATTAACAAACTATTACTGCAAATACATATTACAATTAATTAATATCATCTTTGTGTCCTAAGATATTCTCCTGTGCACAGTTTTCGTTTGCTTTATCATATAAAATTCTTACTTCCTTTAACAAATTGGCTATATTTGTACCCATTTTAGCAGATATTGGAATAATTGGTATATCCATTTTTTGTCTAAGCATTTCTAAATTTTCCTGTAATTATATAATTAATCATTACATCTTTTATTTTTCAAAAACTTTAAACTGTAAGAAAATATATCTTACCGCTGCTTGTGGTAAATCTATCTTATTTGCAGCAATAAGAAGCGACCTTTCGTTCAACTTTACATTGAATTGTGTTATTTCATACATTAGAGTTTCAAAGTCTACCCATGGTTCGTCAGAAGTAAGATCCAGTATAAATAATAAAATTTTGCAACGTTCTACATGTTTCAGAAATTGTATACCAAGTCCTTTGTTTTTATGAGAGTCGGATATAAGTCCAGGCAAATCGGCCACTTAATAGTTAACAGAAAATATATGTTGAATATATAATAAACATGAGATAATGTAACAATTACACTACTAACCTGCAATTTGTTCATAATCATCGTATAATACCATACCCAGATGTGGTTTCAATGTAGTAAATGGATATGGTGCTACTTTTGGCCTGGCTCTAGATATAGCTCTTAATAACGTACTTTTACCTGCATTCGGAAGGCCAATCTAAAATATATTCGCAAGATATTTATATAATTCTTATTAGTGGTTTCAACTGGAACATGAAGAATTGCAATAATACCATAATAATACTAAAGAATCTAATTTGTACTAACCAGTCCAATATGTGCCATACTTCTTAATTCTAATATATATTGTAATTCTTCTCCCTGTGCACCATACTCGCTTATATATGGTGTTTGCTGCAAGTCAGACTTAAAGTATGAATTGCCATGACCACCTGCACCACCTCGTGCAGCAATAAACATTGTTCCTTCATTATCTAGGTCAGCTACTATTGTTCCATCTATGTTACGTATTATGGTGCCTGCAGGAACAGGTACAATAGTATGCTTAGCATTTTTTCCAAAGCAGTCTTTACTATATCCTTGCTCTCCATCTTCAGCCTTAAGAACGCTTTGCATATTTGAAAAATCCGTAACATTTGATGATACCTGTAAAATTTTGAATTCTTATTTTTATTCAGAAATAAAACATACAGATGGAATTAAACGTATTGTAAAAATTTTCCTCATCCATCATTAATTTCTTACCTCAAAAATTACATGACCACCATGTCCACCATCTCCACCATCAGGTCCACCATTTTCGTTTGCCCATAATTGTAAAAATGATATCGCTCCATCTCCACCCTTTCCTCCAATAGTTTTTACCTAAATATATCGAAATTAGTATTTGTAAATATTATCTAGAAATTGAAGGAGTTGTGTTGAATTTCATACTTGCTTCATATCAATAAAAGTTATGTTTGTATCCCCCTGCGATTTTCGCTTTGTATCGCGTAATGGTTTGGCAACACTTTCTTCCTGTTGAAGCCATTTAGAAATACAAAATGATTTAGAAATATTCTTGTTTATGCTCCTACATCTTTCCACGTTTATAGTAACTGTATTCATGATATCTTGTTTCCAGAAAGTATTAAGTAATATTAAACTTCTAATTTGTCGAAAATAAAGCATCTGGAAATAATTAAATTTCTAAATACATATATTATATAATAGAGCAAATGATACAATAGTTTTGTAGGTACAAATGGATAGAATTTTATTAAGCTATAATTACATTGAATTATATTTTAAGTCTGTATGTAAAGTAGTATCATCTTGAAACTGACACATTTAAGTTATCTTCCAAAATATTTGCAATTAAATTCTGGTGTATATCAATGACTCTCTCTCGATATAAAGGTAAACAATTTGATTTATAATTTATTCTATAAGTTCTTTTCTGAATATTTTGTGATGGAGATACATACATTCCTAAGAAATTAACATCATTTATAATACGAGCAGCATAATTATGTAACAATGCATAAAATTGAATATGATTGAATTCTTTTTTAACACTAAAAGTTATATCAAATGTGTATGTATGTGCGCATAAGTTTGTAGTATTTATGTTTGATGCATATAATATTTGATCTATATCTTTCCATGAAAGATTATAATTATCATATGGAGAAATATTTATTTTGGTTTCAGGAGCAATGTTTAGTGCATTTGGAGATTCAGATTTAACAAATATATGAGTTAAAGCACCAGCAGAATGAAATTGTTTATCTAAACTACGGTATCCAGTTACTATGTAATTTTGAAATAACAACCATTCGAATGGTTCAATTTTGCTCAATACACAATTTCCATGTGCTGCCATTTCTGTAATTTTCCACGAATCATCCCATCGTCTTAACGGATTGTCAAAGAGAGTACCACCTTGACCATTGCACAGAGTAACTAATATCTGCCCATTATTTTTTAACAATTTTGTCGCATTTATAAAAAATTCTCTCAATAACACTCTATTCTTTTCAATTCGCATTTTACCACCAACATGAGGAAAATTAAAGATAGTTTTGTCAAATAATTTCGTTTTCAATATTGAATGTTCTTTCAAATTTGTTGCATCAACACCTAATAGAACATGAACTCCTGAAAAGAAAAGCATAGAATTCTTTACACAATTAATTAATTTAGAAGACATTGTAAAATTCTGGTTTCAATTTTCTTAAAGATACTGACCATTATTTATTAAATATTCTATGTTTTTCTTTCTATAATCTTGATATATATTGGTCTCATAACATGTGGCGGTAATATTAATTTTTAAATTGAGTTGAAGCAATGCAACGGAGAATGAGAAATTACCTTCTCCTACTAGAAGTACAGAATCATTTTCATTGAATAGAATAGGCTTCATAGTTCTAAAAGATAGTAAACAAATATTTAACTGGTGCCTTTTCGATATTACAGTAACAAGATAATATTATATTGCAACTATAACACATAACCTTCAAAAATAAAAGAATAGCTAACCTTATAAGTTTTTGTAGAATTTATTTAATAATAATGTATAAGAGCGATGAAAATTAATTTTCCTTGAAGATGGACATAATTATTTAGTTAGAATTATGCATGGCTGTAATATTTCTATTTCATTCTCCTTATTGCGATTCAGAGACACCTCACGGGGTTTTATTACGGCCCAATTACGGTCCTTCGATAGCGCCACAAGTGAAATGACTTAGGACTAAACAGAAATTAAGATAGAGCAGAGGACTAAACAGAAATTAAGATAGAGCAGGTGTAGTTGCGACTATAATCTTCTTCGTTTCAGATTGATAGAAACTATAGATTGTTCGTAACTTTATTTTCTTATCCCTTTGTTCTATGGTTGCTAACTGGCTGCTGTTAGCAACTTTTAATTAGAAACCCTCTCTAACTTTATTGTACATCACTTGTCTCCAGGGCCGATTTTAGCAATTGTAACAGTGAGGTTCCTAAAATGATCGAGCGATAATCATGTAAATTAAGGGTGCGCAGGAGACCCAGCAAAACTCCGAGTTGACTTCAGC